GAGAAAACTACGCAAGACAACAGCACTGCAAAGAGAAGGAAAACTTGAAACAAACCTTATACCAACCCATCTGACCAGCGTGGTATAGTAGACCAAAACCTCCTTTCTAAGGAGAGGCCTATGTCCAGCAGTGGACTATCATAGGCTCTTGATGAGATGTGATCCTGCAAAAAAAGCATGAGCATGAAAAATCCTATTATTTTGACATTACAAACAGACACTTCAATTTTATTTATTTGTATATAGATATATTTATTGTATGCAGTTAAACACAACAAAAGATGAGTTATACATACTATGTAGACTTAATAAAAGTCGGTTTTATTGCTCACGGAGATCTCTTACAGACAACCTTAACACGTATATTGGGTACTAGCTTTCCCCCGCGGCTTTGCCCGCGTGTACTTATTTGGATAAGGATTAATATTGTTTATAATATTTTTCTAAAAACACATTCGCAAATAACGCCTTTTTACGCCTTCGACCTTCAAACCTTCAAGAAAAGAGCGTACTCCTTCCTAAAAGGCCGGCAACGCGTTTGTGACTCCTGAGTTGCAGACGTTCTTGGGCGGCGATGGTCACTTTCCATCAGGTGACTCGTCTGCTCGTCTGCCCCCTCCATCATAAAAAACAAATTACAACAAAATTGATTACCATAAAAAGGTTATGGTGGCCGACCTTAAAAGATATATATATATACATAATAATATGCTGTTGCGAACTTTTTTGCGAACATTCTTGATTGGTGCTCCGCTCCTATTGGTCTCAGCGTGATGATATATAGCCTATAGCCTTCCTCGATAAATGGGCTTCAGTTTTAGATAGAGAATCAGAATCTTCTAGAAATGGGACTGTTCTGAAGTTCCTGACATTTGCGCGTTCAAGCAAACAAACAAACAAACTTTTCAGCTTTATAATATTATTTATTTTTTATTTTTTTATTTAATTATTTTTGCACAACAACAATTCGGACACAAATAAATGGCGGACTTAATGCCACAGACATTTTCTTCTAGTCTACCTTTGGGTGGTGAGGAAATGTCTGAGTAGGGGCACTAGAAATTAAGTAATAATAAAAATATTTGGACATGTAACACACAACGCCATCTAGTTTCAAACTACTACTTACAGTATAGCTTCTACTATGAAAGCTAGATTGACTGATAGAATACATATATACTTTTTTTTTTGTAAATTCATACATATTATACGTAGAAAACACCCAAACCACACACCCAAACAAATATTTGTAGATCATACAAACATTTGGTCCGAACCGGGAATCGAACCCGACACCTCGGCACAGCAGTCGCATACACTACTACTGCGTCACCGAGTTTTATATAAGATTAGTATAGACACATAATTTTACTATATATTTAAAAATTTAGAGTACTTTACATACACGTAACACATTAACAAATATCAACAAAAAATAAATCAACTAAAAATATTTATTTATTCTTTATTGTACACACATACATATATATAAGTAACAAGGAAATTTCATGAACAAAGGCAAGTTTTCTTCAAGGAAACCTTGAGCGAATAGAGGACAAGAGAGAAACGTAAGGGCACAGTCATGCGTACTTAGCAATCAACACAAAAAGGTATATAAATTAAACAAATACCGACATTAATTAGGATCATCATCATCAACAGCCTATACTAGTCCACTGCTGGACATAGGCCTCTCCTTAGAAAGGAGGTTTTGGCCTACTATACCACGCTGGCCGGACGGGTTGGTATAGGGTTTGTTTCAAGTTTTCCTTCTCTTTGCAGTGCTGTTGTCCTGCTTAGTTTGCTCCCTTAGTCGGCTCTTACGACACCCACGGGATGAATTGGGGTGGTGACAATTTGTATTCTTAATCCGTCACCACACGGACTTAATTAGGATAGTAAAATATATTATACGTATAAATACATATACATACATACATACTAAGGGTCTTATTATTGAAAGAACAGATAATAATCCCTGGTTCTCTTCCTGAACACGCTCAGAGAATGGCTATTGCGTATTGCATGCGGTAATTCCATAGCCAAAATTCATACACAAATTCACATTTATTTACATTTCACATATATAAATACACATAATAATATTTTTTATTGAAATAGCCCCCTGTTACAACATATTAGGATCCTGATTCCTGTGGTAGGTTATAACCTGTGTTATAGCAAACATTGTTCTTACCCATTATGTTTTATCATTTATAGAAATAAATAAAATTGAAGTGTCTGTTTGTAATGTCAATATAATAGGGTTTTTTTTAAGTATCAACTGTACTGTAACTGTAGCAACAAGTAGCTGTCTTTATACTTGCGACTGCATGGATGGGGTGGTGGTTTAAGCGGTCGCCACGCCGCTTCCTACTACGCCGTGTGTTGTGGGTTCAAACACCACATGGGACGACACATTGTGTGATCCACAAATTGTTGTTCTGAGTCTGGGTGTTCTTTGTGTCCGTTTCATGTATGTTTGTAAAGTCCCCCGCGACACAGGATATATTCCTAATGTCTTTAAAAAAAAATATAGGGAGTAACTTAGGCTCAGGGACTTCCTTTATAGGGTATACCTGGTTCCCCAGCTATTAGTACCCGAGACGGCGTGCGGTTTTACCGACCGACATGCCACCGACAGGTGGTATCCGAGGGGATTTCCGCACGGAAAAAAAAAGTAAGGAGTAACTTAGGCTATTTTTTCTCTCAGAAAAACCCTATAATATTTTACATGGTCCGGGAATCGAACTCACAAAGCAGCGCTTTTCAAATTCCTCGCGAAGTCGCGGACACCAGCTAGTATAAAATAAGAATACAGTTAAGAGTGTGTGTGTGTATCTATGCGCGCATGTGTATGACCGTGCTCATTGTACCAAGTTTTCGGTTAGTGTGAAGTCGAGCGTTAGTAACTATGATTTTATTTTAATTTTGAGCTCATTTTTTTGCCAGTGAATTATACGTGTAGCTAGGTATAAGAATTGACGTCTTGATGATGCAGTTTTAAATTTTAAAGGTTTGCAAACGTTGATAATAGTACGCTTATTTCTGTTTTCGTGATTAAACGGTGCAAATTTGTTATATTAACAACATAAAATTATCTTTACTGTAAGTAATTCACACTTTTAATACAATAACTTTGTTGGGAATCGGTGTGGTTCAAAAGTTATAACCTTAAGTAGCGATCTTGGGGCTCTCTCTAAATGAATCATTTAGGTTTTGCAGGCCTATATCGTTGTACAGTAACTAATGATCGATTTTACTAGTATAGAATAAATGAATTGAATTAAGTTAAAGTTTGTTACATGGCGTAGTCTTTTAAATATCCAGATAAGCTTTCTAACTCTTGAGATGGTTTGTTCAATATGTATTACGCCAGTTCATGTTTGCATATAACTCTCAAACATCTTAATGTACTCTTACTGTTCAGTAATTGCTAGTAGAGTCATGTGAAGGCGTGCATGCGTCTAAATCTAAATCTAAGCGTTTCCTCTGGAGGCTTAGTTTTGGCGAATTTAAATTGTACGTAAGAGGTCTTCGAGACATTGATGGTGAGTAATTTTTGAACTAATTACTTATTTTTTGAAGGCCAAGCTCATCAGGTTCTGTCACCTTCTCTCAGGTTTTGTCATGAAATATGACAGCAGGGTCTTCTGCATAACTAAATATTTTACAAATATGGAGACACATAGATACATTAATACACATAAATACATAATACAGAATTTGGTGTGTATATGTGTATTATGGTGTGTGGTGTGGCGTGTGGTGATGGATTAAGAATACGGAGTGTCACCACCCCTATTCATCCCGTGGGTATCGTAAGAGCCGACTGAGGGAGCAAACTACGCAGGATAACAACACTGCCAAGAGAAGGAAAACTTGAAACAAACCCTATACTAACCCGTCTGGCCAGCGTGGTATAGTAGACCAAAACCTCCTTTCTAAGGAGAGGCCTATGTCCAGCAGTGGACTAGTAAAGGCTGTTGATGATTGGTGTTATTCACAAGTTTTCTAGCATTTTACCCGACTGCGTCAGAATGTACGAATAATCATTATTTTACACATCTCACACACGAGTCCCAAGCTAGGTAGAGCCTGTACCATGGTACAGTAAATACAAACGTATTATGGAACGAACGAGGACAAATGAACGTGCAATTATAATATCCATAGTAATAAGCGAAAGTGTGTCACTCTGTATGTCTGTCTGTTTGTTACCTCTTCACGCTTAAACCGCTGAACCGATTTAGATAAAATTCGGTATAGAGATAGTCTGAGTCCCGGGAAAGGACATAGGGTAGTTTTTATCCGAGAAATTATACTTATAGGGGTTTAAAAGGGAGGTTAAAGTTTGTATGGGGAATCAAGAACCGCTTAACCGATTTAGATGCAATTTGATATGGAGGGACTTTGATTCTTGAGGGAAGACATAGGCTATTTTGTACCGCGATAAAAGCTAGTTATAGATAAACTACATCCAGACACAACACAAATGATTGTAAAATTATAATATTTCATCTGGATAGGTAGCGAGCCCTTGACCATGAGCAATCAGGATTGCTATGCACACATAGGACTATAATAATATACCCGTATCGGTACCCATACTTCGGTATCCGTATAGGTGTTTTTTTTTTAATTTAATTCACAGTATTAACTTAGATCTAAGACTTAAACGTAATGGTTAACGGCGAGACGTGCTCGTTAATGAATTAAATAAGCTTTGCTATACAGTATGTGCATCACATATAGCAAAAATAACAAAATAAGTAACAACATAAGGTAGATACCTATAAAAATATTATTAGATATTTAAGACAACTTTATAAAAACAATTTCTAAATTATAATGAAGCATAACTCTCTCACATTTCCGAACATATTAAATTCTTAAGGAGTGTTGGTGTCTAACATATGGCTGGCTTTAAAAGAAACCAGCCATAAAAGAAATCAGCCATTAATAAAATTATGAAATTTGATTTCTTTCAGAGCCTAGAGATGGCGCCAATAGTACCAGAATTTTACCGAGGAAAATCAGTCTTCATTACAGGAGGAACTGGTTTTGTGGGAAAAGTAATTATTTCATTATATTCACTTATTTATAATTCCTGCAATTGTATAAAGTGGACTTAATGGTGATGCAAAGCTGTGTGGGTGTTCAGGACAACAACATATCCCTCAAACATATTGAGCCTTATACGTGTGGTGATATTTTAAGATTACCGAATGTCACCACCCGTATTCATACTGTGGGTGACATAGGAGCCGACTAAGGGAGCAAACTACGCAGGACAACAGCACTGCAGCAAGGAAAACTTGAAACAAACTCTATACCAACCCATCTGAGCAGCGTGGTGTAGTTTACCAAAACCTCCTTTCTAAGGAGAGGCCTATTAAAGGCTTTTGACCAGTAGTGAACTATTAAAGGCTGTTGATGATGATGATAATGAACCTGCTTGACCGGACAGCATCCTGTATGGAGATTGTATCAACCGTTTGGTACCTAGGGTACGACTGTCATAAGGGAGTCATAGGTCTAACTTTATTTTTAAATGAGGTCTTTATTGACAAAAATGAATAATATATCTGCATGTAAAATACCTAAAATTTGATGGGTGAAAAGACAGTTAACAGTTTTAATTCTCAAAGGAATTCTATAGGGAAAATATAATACAGAATGACAGAAAAAAATCAAGGATAATCGAATTGTAAATAATTATATCATATCTTCTTTCAGTGCATCATAGAGAAGTTGCTTCGAAGTTGTCCAGATATTGACAGTATCTATATTCTGATGAGACAGAAGAAAGGTGTCAGCTCTGAAGATCGTCTTAGAGATCTCATCACTCAGAAGGTACACTTAATACTTATAGCTTGAAGGTATGACGCTACAGGTATGTGGCGACTTGAACTTGTCAAGCCAATTCAGTTCACTGCCGTGACTGCCGTGCACCAGACCGGTCGCACGTAAGTTTTAATACTCATTCGCATCTCGTTGCGGCGATAATTTGAAATAATTTATGCATTGCTTCGTATTCAGATGCTTAGTATAGACACGAAACTCTTAATCAAACATTTAATTGGTAATTAATTTAGAACAACTCTGAAATCGTCAGGAGAATGATATTTAATCAATTAAAAAAGAAGTTTCAGGGGATTATAACCATACTAGACTAGCTGACCGGCGCAACTTCGTCTGCGTCTCTCAATAGTAAAAAATTTTCTCCGTTTTTGAAACATTCTTCATTGGTGCTCCGCTCCTATTGGTCTTAGCGTGATAAGCCTATAGCCTTCCTCGATAAATGGGCTATCTAACACTGAAAGAATTTTTCAAATCGGACCAGTAGTTCCTGAGATTATCGCGGTCAAACAAACAAACAAACTCTTCAGCATTATAATATTAGTATAGATATGATTGTACTTCTGTTGAAGATTCTCGTTCGTAGTATTCAAGTTAAAGAAAATCACGTTTGACGTAACGTCTGATTCCCACCCAGGACGAATACTGTTTCATATACACGATTTTTTGGTCTATGTCTCGGTGATGTATGTCTTCAGGAAATGGGTATGTTTATCAGCAGCCTAGTTATCATAGTACAGGTGCTGCCTAGTTTAGGATCAGATGGCGTTGTGGGAGATGAGTTTAGTAATTTATTACTATTGTTACGAGATGGGTATATAAATAATAAAAGTTGTCGGTTAATTACTTTATTTCACTGTATTTACAAACACTCAGTAGGTACTAGGAATCACTATAAATCTTGGTAGTCGCAATAGCTCCGCTTTTATTGAACTTTTTATTTTTCTAGAAAGATCCTAGTCTGTTCCAGACAAACACGAATATTCCAGAATCAGTCACGCTTTACTTGCAGCGCCATCTAGCGCTGTAAGGATCAGAACTACTCGTTTTAACCACAATCTTAATAGATATACTTGGTCGATACTAGATGGCGCTGACCTCCACATTCCATACAATCGGACCATTTAATTCTATGGCGCAACACTATTAAACCTAATATAACCATTTTGTGGTAGGCATTCGACCTAATTCACAAACAAAACCCGGACAACTTCAAGAAACTGAAGGTCATCAACGGTGACATCACAGAAGAGAATCTTGCCATTTCAGAGGAGGACAGAAGAACGCTTCAGAAGAATGTTAATATTATATTTCACAGTGCTGCATGCGTTAGGTATGTAGGATTATATTGACACATACTTCTTGTATTTTTTACCGACTATAAAGCGATCAAAAGCCCCGAATATGAAAACCATATTTTTTTTCGACTGTATGCATATGTATTTCTTTGGCTTGCTCTTAAGCCTACGTGCTTCCCTCCATAATTTGGATAGACCCTTGATAAAAACACACGTACAACGAAAGAATTGCCTAAAATCGATGTGCTTACAGGCCAAGGTATCACACTGGGCCGGCTCGACCGGAGTGATATCACGGCCTCACAGAAAACCGGTGGTAAGCAATTCTCTTGCTGCCCTTGGAGCCCTTCTGACTCGAGCGGGAGGGACTCCAAGGGCAGCAACAGCACTTATGACTTTTGAGTTGTAGGTGTCCATGGGTGGCGGTAGTTGCTTACCATCAGGTGACCCGTCTGTTCGTTTGCCCCTTTATACCATAAAAAAACCACACACATTGGTCAAGGCGTCATCTCACCTGAAATCTCCGGAGCATGACGACCCGAGGGGGTACATTCAATGACTATTTATCAATCATTACTGGCCTAGTTGGGTCTAGTGGTCAGTGAGCCTGAGTGCTAAGCCAAAAGTAGTGGGTTCGATTCCCACCCAGGACAAATAATTGCGAGATGAGCACGATAATTTGTTCTGTGTCTGGGTGTAATTTATATGTAGGTAGGTATTATATACATAAAATATTTCTATTTCTTTTTTCTAAGGAGAGGCCTATGTCCAGCAGTGGACTATTAAAGGCTGTTGTTGTGATGTGTGAATATTTAGGTATGTTTATCAGCGGCCTGGTTACCATAGTACAAGCTCTGCTTAGTTTGGGATCAGATAGCCATGTATGAGTTGTGTGAAGTGATTGTACTAACTAATATTAATAATTATTTCACCAGGTTCGACCAGAAGTTGAAAGATGCTGTAAATATGAACACAACGGGCACTTGGAGGGTACTATCTCTTGCTGAAACCATGGAGAAATTAGAGGTGAATAATTGGGGTATCTTTCTCACTAGTTCCTTTACCCTATCCGATTTAATATACCAAGGTTCTGACCCATCTGGCCAGCGTGGTATAGTAGGCCAAAACCTCCTTTCTACCTCCTACGTCCAACAGTGGACTGTTAAAGGCTGTTTATGTGTGTGATGGTCTAATTAAATAACCCCAATTTACCGTATCCCTTAATCTTGTCTAAAAGCGATAACATTTCTAAGGAGGTTTGGGATCACTTGTTTGATTCCCACGCAGGACAAATATTGCATGATGAGGACGATATATCTATAACTAGCTGGTACCCGCGACTTTGTTCGCTTGGAATTTGAAAAGCGGTACGCGACTGCAGTCCATGAGGCTTTGGATTCAATTCCCGGACCGTGCGGTGATCGGACCGAATTGGCTTTTCTGAGAGGAAAAATAGCCTAAGTTACTCCTTATATAGACAGCTACCTGGTAGTAAAATATTATCAAAATCAGTCCAGCCGTTTTGTAAATTACCCTGCACAACAAGACACAGACAAAATTATTTAAACTGGTTCTTAGGTATCGTGCAAATAACCGTGTGAGCAAGAAATAAACCTATTATTTTGACATTACGAATAGCCACTTCAATTTTGTTTATTTGTATAGATATATTTAGAAACTAGCTGACCCGGCAAACGTTGTTTTGCCAAAAAAAAAATTTAGGGATGGGTCTCCCTTACCATTTTCCGTATGAAAAATAGATGTTGGCCGATTCTCAGACCTACCCGATGTGCACACAAAATTTCATGAGAATCGGTCAAGCCGTTTCGGAGGAGTACGGGAACGAACATTGTGACACGAGAATTTTATATATAAGATATGTAATTCATTTAAACAGGCTCAGACAACCGGTTGTGAGATGTCTGAAGTTATCATAATTAATTAAAAAGTGTCATAAGAAAATATTTTGTAATTTTCCAGGTTTTTGTACATCTATCTACAGCGTACTGCCGCTGTGATTTGGATGTTCTGGACGAAAAGCTGTACAAAGCTGTACATAATCCCAGGAAGATCATGGACATCGTCTCTTGGATGGATGACGAGACGCTTGATCACTTGGAGCCAAAGTGAGTATTTAATTGTCCATATAAAAACATAGGACGTAGGACACCCACAGGCCAGGTGGAGTGATGATTTGCGCAAGATGGCTGGCAGGAGCTGGATGCGAGAAGCCCAAATTCGATCCAAGTGGCGTGCAATGGGAGAGGCCTATGTCCAGCAGTGGAATGCGATAGGCTGATGATGATGAGGATGATAAAAACATAAGCGAAACAAATAATATAATAAACAATTGAGAACAAGAATGAATCATTTTAAAAAAAAAGTTGAACCGACTTGTAACAAAACTAAAAACCTAGCAACAATCGCGGTTGATTTGCTGTCATTTTTGAAGAGTTTCGTTGTCTGTTTCCGAAACTCATCATCAGAGCCTTATGAAATTTTAATGAGACCATTTCGGAATAAACCTCCTTCGAACAAAAAAAAAACCGGTCAGGTACGAGTCGAACTCGTGCACCGAGGGTTCCGTACCTATCCAGATTTTACGTAGATTTTCTCGAAAATTTGTAAGTACCAAAATTTATCTTAATTTTCAACTTTTTTATTTTTTGGAATTATTCCTTTATTTGTGCTGTAAGACGTTTCTTTTTGCCAAATTTCGTGATTCTAGGTCAACGTGAACTACCATATAGGTTTTCGACCCAAAACCTATAGGGTACCTCCGGTTGACCTAGAATTGTTGATTTGTTGATTAAAAATAGCATACATTTTTCCTTCTTTTGTAATAACTCTCGCTCTAGGCATATAATATCCAATGTCACGGGGGACTTTACAAACATTCATGAAACGGACACAAAGAACACTCAGACTCAGAACAACAATTTGTGGATCACACAAACTGTTGTACCATGTGGAGATCGAACCCACAACACTCAGCTCAGCGCAGTAGGAAGCACTACGCCATCTGTCCAGTCCAATCATATTTGCTTTTCTTTTATTTTGTTTATCGCGACATTTAACAGTTATACATAAGGTTAATATAAAACACAAACACGTAAACATTTAAAACACGTAGTTAATTTAAAATTAGAGTAAATAATCTATTGAGTGAACGTGCACCCCACACCAATGTCCACGAAATAATATTTAAAGTAATAAAGTGAAAATAATCATCCCCACCACTTGGATAATTGGTGTTCCACCACTGTGCGCATTTCAAGATACTTTTTGCCTCGCACTACCAACCTGTGGAACAAGTAATCGGCTGCGGTATTTCCGGACGGATACGACCTTCAAACCTTTAAGAAAAGAGCGGTCTCCTTCCTCAAAGGCTGGCAGCGCGCTTGTGACTCCTGCGTTGCAGGCGTTCATGGGTGGCGGTAGTCGCTTTCTATCAGGTGACCCGTCTGCTCGTTTGAACCTATTCCATAAAAAAAAGTTAATCTTTTTTTTTTTTTTTTATAAAAAAGACAACTCCCGCACTAGGAATAAATCCTGTGTCGCGGGGGACTTTACAAACATACATGAAACAGACACAAAGTACACCCAGACTCAGAACAACAATTTGTGTATCACACAAGTGTCGTCCCATGTGGGGTTTGAACCCACAACACTCGGCGCAATAGAAAGTTGCGTGGCGACCGCTTAAACCACTACGCCATCCGTGCAGTCAAGTAGTCAAGTAATCTCAGATCTCGATTCTTGGATCTGAGATCTCGGTTCGTAGATCTTGCATTTTGAGTTTTGAAGCTTAAGTATTTATCTTTTGATGGAGTGACGTAGTCATCATTGTGGCTAAGCTCCGTAAATAAAGAAAAAAAAAACTTAAGTAGAATATTGTTTCAGGTTAATAGAATCAGAGCCGAACACATACTCCTACACGAAAGCGATTACTGAAGATTTGGTTTGTGAGTACAGTGAGAAATTTCCCATAGCTATCGCAAGGCCCTCTATTGGTAAGTGTAAACATTTATATTTTTATTAAGAAACGATACCGAGATACTACATCATACACGTTTTATTTTTAAAATATTCGGTAAAGAAAATAAATCGTTGAAATTGACATGAAAATTGGAAAGTAAAAAAAAATTGCAACGTAAATGTTACGGGTTCGATTCCCGCTAAAGTCAAACATTTATGTGCATGAACATGTAATGTTTGATTTGGTTTGGGTGTTTCTATGTGTACGTGTGGTGACGGATTAAGAATACAGAGGGTCACCATCCCTATTCTTCCCGTGGGTGACGTAAGAGCCGACTAAGAGAAAAAACTACGCAGAACAACAACACTGCAGAGAGAAGGAAAACTTGACACAAACCTTAAACCAACCCGTCTGGTCAGCGTGGTATAGTAGACCAAAACCTCCTTTCTAAGGAGAGGCCTATGTCCAGCAGTGGACTATTAAAGGCTGTTGATGTCGATGTGATTTATAATATGTATGTATTTACAAAAAAAAAGTTTAAAGGTATTTTATCAGTTGTCTAGTATCCAAAGCAGGTACAAGCTCTGCTTAGTTTGAGACTAGATGGCGTTGCGTGAATGTTCTAGAATAATGTTATTATTTAATAATGTTACTATTATTAGTGGAAGAAATATACAAAGAGGGCTCGGAGAGTTTTTCTATAACTGTTGGGGCTTCAACGTAGTTAAAGAAAATACTCCCAAGATTTGTACAGGGCTTTAATGTATAAGATAACTGGTTTTTTACAATTTTGTGTATGGCAATGCTTGCTCGTCGGAAGTCGGAGAGAAAAAGAAAAGTTATGCATAGTGATGCGATACGAATGATAAGAATAGCATAGACAAACTATCGGGGTATACGGCGTTAACAATAACATTTATTTACATAGAAACGTTAAACTTCAGTTACAGCGGCTTTAAAGGAACCTTTGGTTGGATGGGTGGATAATATCAATGGTCCCACTGGACTGGTCATAGGAAGTGGTAAAGGTAAGAGGATATTTATTTATATTTCTAGCTTTTCCTAGCGGTTTGGTGGAGGTAGACGCAGGGTTCTTTGACCGCGTGTCCGCAGCCGGTGGCGCACAAATGCTGTGTATAAAATGCTCAGCGCTGGGTGCTCGAAAACGAAGGTCGGTTTCATGTTTGTACTACAGCTCGCACGCCCGCTCGACCTGGATTTAAAAGGAGTTTTAATATAGAACAATGACAAGATGTTAATTATTTTATACAATATAATACACCGTGGGAGAGCCATGCTTCGGCACGAATGGGCCGGCTCAACCGGAGTGATACCACGGCCTCACAGAAAACCGGTGTTAAGCAATTCTTTCGTTGCCTTTCACTGAGTGAATGAGGTTACCGGACCCCAAATCTCCGAAAAAGGAACTCCAAGGGCAGCAACGCACTTGTGAGTTTTAAGTTGCAGGTGTCCATTTGCTTCGGTAGTTGCTTACCATCAGGTGACCCGTCTGCTCGTTTGCCCCCTCATACCTTGAAAAAAAAAATTGTTTGATGTATCAAGCAACAATTTGTGTGGTTCTGTGAATATTGAATTACTTAGTTTTTTTCTTTTCTTTGATAACTTCAGAAGTTTATCATTCATTTCTTATCTTAATAATGTTCATATATTTTCGTTCAGTTTGCTCCGAGTACAAACACTATTGTTCAACACCATTCACCATTCACGTCCAGACTTCAGAGGTTCGGTGACCGCGTTCGGTGCATTGATTGGTGTAGAGTTCAGCGGGGACCAATAGCAACGCCGAACGCCCTCGCTATCGAGATTATTTCACATGAACTCGCATGTGAAATAAACTCGCCCACAGAGAACAATCTCGCACGCGGCAGACGGCGTACGCCCCCGAAACGATGGACACGCGTCGCTCGGTTGGTCGGGTTCAGAGAGTTAACGAGGATTTTGTTGAGCCAAAAGGCAGTTTCCTATTCGGAATAATATTTTTTTACTAATAAGTAAGAAAATAATAGTTTTTTATAGAACACCCTTTTTATAGAAAACCATACTAAAAAAGAGAAAATAAAAAAGCTTTTACTATTGAAAACAGGCACCCAATGCTTTTTTTTTCAAATTTATTAAAATTTATTTTCAATTTTTTAGTTTGGTTTTCTATAAAAAGCGTGTTTTTTAGTTTTGTAAAACTATTATTTTTTTAAATTAGTGTATTGTCATCGGTCCCCGATATATCTATAAAGTTTGAACGAATTCTGACCGTTTAAAGTCAGTCAAAACCACGCCCAAAGGAGTCGGTTACAAACAAACAAATAAACATACAAGTTAAGCTAATATAACGCGTGTAAAAACAGACAGTATACTATAATATCATTCGGTTGATATATCACTAGCTTTAAACACTTATAATACTTGACTTTGGGCTTCAGTTTAAATATTAAGAAAAAAAGTGTATATATAATTATAGATCCGTGTGGTGACGGATTAAGAATACGGAGTTTTACCACCCCTATACATCCCGTGGGTGTCGTAAGAGCCGACTAAGGCAGCTAACGCAGGACAACCAGCACTGCAAAGAGAAGGAAAACTTGACAGAAACCTTATACCAACCCGTCTGGCCAGCGTGGCATAGCACGCCAAAACCTCCTTTCTAAGGAGAGGCCTATGTCCAGCAGTGGACTATAAAAGGCTGCTGATGTGATGTGATATAATTATCTAAATATCGGAATTTACAACTATTGGTAATACGCGGTATTATTGGCTTATCGACGATAAGGTAACGAGTATTATCGCTCTTGAATTTTCCCGCAATGTGATTCACCCTCGCTCGATAGATGGCGCTATTCAAAAAAACTAAGTCGCACTATGGTTTCGTTACCGTAATTTATACTTAACCAATAGAACCGATGTAAAATTTTATCCTGAGAAGGAAAACTTGAAACAAATATTTTTGGGAATCTAGTCATAGACACTGTCTATGATGATGATTTGTTTAAAACATTCTTATTCAACAGTTCTTATCTAAAGAACTTAGCTATCGGCTTTTTGATTCGTCTATACAAATAAATAAAATTGAAGTGTCTGTAATGTCAAATTAGTAGGTAATTTTCATGCTCACACGGTCATTTGCATGCCTAAAAACCAGTTTAAATATTTTTTGTCTGTTTGTTCGTTATGTTTAAGAGGGCTGGATCGCTTTTAATAATAATTTACTACCAGATATCTGTCGCTATAAGGAGTAACTCAGACAATTTTCTTAGAAAATATCTAAAATTTTGCCCGGTCCGACTCATTAAGGCAGAACTTTACAAATTCCAGGCGAACGAAGTCGCGGGCACCACATAATAAGAACAGATTCTGCATCTGGTAATTTTTCGCTCTTTTTACTTCTGCGTCATTGTCCGTAATATACAAAATCCGAAAATACATAAAATAATATATAAATATATATATGACTTGTAAAAGTGTTCTGGTAACCTATTTGCATAGTTATTACTTTTTAAGTCAGAGGGGGCAGATGAACCACCTGATGGAAAGTGACCATCGCCGCCCATGAACGTCTGCAACTCAAGAGTCACAAATAAACGATTTCATTTCAGTATAAATTGTTATGCTTTCAGGTGTAATAAGAACCATGCATTGTGAGCCTTCCTACAGCGCTGACGCCATATCTGTGGACATTGTAGCAAATGCCTGTATTCTGATTGCTTATGCAACAGCCCAGGACAAGTAAGTTAACCTTTCTTTCTTATCGTATAGGAGCACAAACAGGGAGATGTGTCACCTGTTGGTAAGTTACTACCGCCGTCCGTGTGTCACCACCCCTATTCATCCCGTGGATGTCGTAAGAGCCGACTAAGGGAACAAACTGCACAGGACAACAGCACTGAAAAAAGAAGGAAAACTTGAAACAAACCCTATACCAACCCGTCTGGTCAGCGTGGTATAGTAGACCAAAACCTCCTTCACCGTACGGACATTTTCTACAAATAAAAAATTTAATTTAATTAATTTACTCAGTTCTAACGGGGATTAACTAGTAGCATTAAACGAAGTCTAAAAAAAACAAAACTCTACACTGTTTCATAGACCTCTTAGAACTACACGTTATAATCGTTTTATGTACTTCGTAAATGCCTGTAGTTAATCAGGGCCTCAATTCTGCTATTTTATGTTCACGCCAAGTCACTGTCATACCACTGACACGCTGTTGAGATGCCATCGAGTGGCCATTGGCATCGGTATAAATATCGGTAGTTGAAAATAAGTATATTACGTTTTTTTAAAGAAATGGTTTATTTATTTTTATTATAATAAATTATTAAAAGAAATAAAAATAAAAAATTAAAATAAAATTATTAAAAAATAAAATTTAAAAAAAAGGAATAAATAAATTATTGTGCTTCGGTACGAATGGGCCGGCAAGACCGGAGTGATACCCCGGCCTCACAGAAAACCGGTGTTAAGCAGTTCTTTCGTTGCCTTTCACTGGGCGAGTGGGGTTGCCGGGGCCCAGATCCCCGTCCCGCTAACTCGAGCAGGAGGGACTCCAAGGGCAGCAACGCACTTGTGACTTTTGAGTTGCAGGTGTCCATGGGCGTCGAGAGTTGCTTACCATCAGGTGACCCGTCTGCTCGTTTGCCCTATATACCATGACAAAAAAAAAAACTGTGCAGTGTTTTATATTCGGTCAAAACCTCCTATCTAAGGAGAGGTCTCTATCCAGCACTGGACTCTTAAAGGCTGTTGATGGTTCAAAGGGTGATAATGTTTAACACCAGTTTTCCGAGAGCCGGCCTATTATGAAAAAGCATCTGCCACTCACCGCAAAGTTAATTATAAACCAGTTGACCAGCATAACTTCGTCTGCTCCCCTTAGAAGGAATAAATTTTCCCCTATTTTGCAACGTTTTTCATTGGTGCTCAGCTCCTATTAGATAGAGGTAGAGTGATGTTGTTCCTCGATAAGTGGGCTATCAAAAATAATTTTTCAATTCGTGCCAGTAGTGCCTGAGATTAGCGCGTTAACCAAATGTATCTCTAACTTTATTACATTAGTAAAGAATCGTGTGTTTAGTATGTGATTCAAACTCTTTTTTTTTTTTTTTTTACGTGTGGAAATCCCCTCGGACCGTCACCCCACCGGGGTTTGCGGCGGGGTGGTGTGTCGGACTCGGACCGACTAAAACCACACGGTGTGCCACTCTGCGCCTGTAATAGGAGGGATCCGGGAACAGCTGTTATTAAGACATCCGGACCCCTCCTAGCGCCTGCCCGCAACGGCGCGGGCACCACCTTCGGTAAACTCTCTATTTAGGCGATGTCCACCCCGTGTGAGGGGAAATCCACCCCGTTTACCCGCGGCCACACTCAGGGCGGCATGAGGCGCAGGTGAGCGCGCCTCCCCCGCCCGGTTCGCCGGCGGCGGATCGGGTCCGAGTGGAGGTCGTCCTCCCGGGCCTTCTCCGCCGCCTCCTTCTGCGAGATTACTTCCTCGCAGGCAGGAGGAGCCGGCACTGCGTCGCCCATGCGGGGCAGACCGCCAGCGTGTGCTGGGCCGAGTCCTCACTGCAGTCGCAGTGGTGGCAGGTGGGACTCAGTTCCCTCCTAGCGGACGAGTGCAGGTACTATCCGAAGCAACCGTGCCCGGAAAGCACCTGCGTCAGCCGGAAGGTAAGGGTTCCGTGCTGCCGCCCTGCCCACTCAGCGACGACCGGCTGGAGAGCCTCCACGGCGGCGAAGCACGCGCGTGGAGTCTCCAGCCGGAACGACCAACGAGCCATCGTGGCTCGGCGAGCGGCTTAGCGCCACTCGCGCACGTCTTCGGGCGGAGGGCGAAATCCGCTCTCCGCCCGGGAGTCAGCCACTCACCGATAAACTTCGGCGAGCACTTCCGCCTCCAAATCCCACGGGGGAGTTCCGGCCAACGCGCAAGCCACCTCCGTCGAAACGGTGCGGTAACCGCGTATGGCTCTGACCGCCAATACCCTCTGAGGGCGCCAGAGGCGTGCCCTATTCTGGGCGGTCAGAGCCGCCGCCCACACCGGTGCACCGTATAGTGCCATTGACCGGACAACCCCCGTGTACAGCCGTCTCGTCGCGACGCTGGGTCCACCCAAATTGGGCAAAAGTCGCCCTAGGGCAGACGCAGCGCCGACCAGCTTTGGAGCAAACTGTCGGAAGTGCTCGTCGAAGAGCCACCTCCCGTTGAGGATCAGGCCCAGATATTTCATCTGGGCCCGAACCGGTACGAGGCCCGAGTTGACCACGATTGAGGCGCCAGGGGGTGGACCACGACGGGGCCCATGAAATAAGAGAGCCTCCGTCTTATCTAGGGCCACCCGTAAGCCCAGCGCCTCAGTGCGCCCGACCACCAGGGAGACTCCCCTTGTGGCCAGGCGCGCCGCCTCTTGGAAGTTCGCCCCCCGGGCTGTCACCAGAGTATCATCTGCGTAACAAATTACACCCAGCCCAGGGGGATGTGATTCAAACCCTATACCAACCCGTCTGACCACGTGGTATAGTAGGCCAAAACCTCCTTTCTAAGGAGAGGCCTATGTCCAGCAGTGGACTACTAAAGGCTGTTGATGTGATAGATAAATATGAATACTTCTTATGAAATTCTTTTTCCAATTTTTTTAGAAAGAAAGAGGCACAATTCTATAATCTCACACTATCTGGTGCTATAAAACTGACCTGGGGAAAGATCATACAACTTGGTAAGGCATTTTGTTTTTATACTAGAATCTTTTTTATAGCTTTTCACCATAGATTGCATGGCGTAATGGTTCACCTCGCTGCTTCCTACTGCGCTGGGTGTTGTGGGTTCGATCCTCACATGGAACAACACTTTGTGTGACCGACAAATTGTTGTTCTGAGTCTAGGTGTTCTTTGTGTCCGTTCGATGGATGTTTGTGAAGTCCCAGATCTAATTCAAATAATTTTTTTAAGAAAAAAAAATACCTTTTATCTCATAAGGCTCAACCGCTTGGAATCGGGCGGTTGTAGATCGGCACAGACATATCATAGATCTTGTAAAAGTTTAATATTTGTTAAATTTATTTGCTTATTATTTGACAAAACAGAGATTGTTGCTTTTTGTGTGTGTTGATCTATGACTTTAGAGTCTACATACTCGTAAAAGACGATTGCAAACAATTTTAATTTTTTTTTGTAATAAAGAGAGTTTGAATTTGAATTTACCAGTAGCTTCTGAGGATAATTTTTGATCAGAGTCTTGATGTTCTTTGTGTCCGTTTCATTAATGTTCGTAAACTCCCCCGCGACACAGGATATATTAAGACTCTACAATCCACCGAGAACAGTACCTTTTCCTGGAGGAATGGTAATCCATATCCGTTTGCGTCAATGAGTATATAAAATTTTGTGACGATCGATTCAGTAGTTTAAGCTTGAGCGGTGACAGACGAGCAAACACACTTTCTTCTTTTTTTCTAGTTTCTTTCTGCTGTTCATTGCGTCTGGAATAAAAAGTAGCTTTCTATCTCCTTACCTAATTTTATCCAGATTCTTTTTGACCGGCCTGTTGGTTTAGAGGTTAGTGATCCTAACTGCTAAGCCGCAGGTCGTAGGTTTGATTCTCACCCAGGACAAATATTGTATGATAAGTACAATAATTGATTCTGTGTGTAATTTACGTATAGTATGTATATCTTTAGAAATGTATGTTTGTTTCTTCTGTCGTTTTCTCCATCCAAAGGTTGCCTGTAAGAGATTGCTATTAGCAATAATGCCGCCCATTGTATATATCCATGTGTAATATATAACCAACTTACTGTAATTGGTGTACAATAAAGCATATTCTATTCTATGTTTAAATAAAAAACATTTCAAAAACCGAACGAAACAGTATTGCCACTTAATAATAAAAAAAAAACCATTTTTTTCAGGAGAAAAATGGGTGAACGAGTATCCATTCTCTGTGGCTTTATGGTACCCTGGAGGTTCAATAAAATCATACAAATTCACCCATCAGATAGACACGTTCTTTACCCAAACGCTGCCCGCTTATCTTGTGGACGCTTTACTGTTTCTCCTTGGGAAGAAGACCTTGTAAGTATCCAGGTATTTGGATTGCACACAATCAATGACCATATCCTAGTGGCTTTCCGAGGTGCGGAGGGTCTCGATATGATAAGAATGGTCACCCATTTATAACCTGACTATGATTGTGATAACACACTAACCCACAAGCCCCTCCAACAAGAAAGGTGTATATTACCATTGTGAATAAAATACCTTATAGTCTAAAGGTTTGATTTTCAAATTTCAGTATGGTTAAACTTCAAAAACGAATACAGAATGGGATAAGCGTCATCCAGTATTATACAACCAAGGAGTGGAACTTCAAAAATAGTAACTATAAAGGTGGGTAAACTTTTTCTCCTTTAGTAGGCTAAAACCTCCTTTCAGAGGAGTGGCCCAAGTCCAGTAGTGGACTGCTAAAGACTGTTGATGACCACACAAACCTTCCAGAACTGTATGTAGTATGTTTCTGTTTCTTTGAGTCGCCACACATTCTTTTGTTTGTTGTTTAAAAATGCCAAACGCACCTAAAGAAGTTTTCACTTCAAAAACTGTACAAAACCATCGACTGCACGGATTGCGGTGTGCGTTACCCCAGCAAAATAATGTTGAAAATGGTCATTTAAACTTTATAGATAATTAGTTGCTCCCCTTCTGTAATTGTTAAGCACATTTTTAAATTTGTTTCACTTAAACTTTTTTAGTTATTTCAAAAAAACATTTCCTGCTGGGGTAACGTTTGAAACGTTACCGCAGCCAGACATTTTCTTTTTTAATTGTAATATTGAAATAAATTTTAGCTAAATAATTAGTTATCTAGACTAGGTAAATGTTACAACTTATTTAGTATTTGTATTTTTTTCGGCTGCGAAGTTATTCGAAATCCTGCTGGAGTAACGTTTGTGGGTTTGCTGGATCTCTGAAACGGGTAAGCGGATTGTAACCATCTTTTGTACATAACTTCTTAAGGATGAGTTTTAATTTGTTCGACAATAAAATAACAAAAATAATGGACCGTTTAAAAATTATATACCTATATACCTTCAAATGTATACGAATTTTCGTAAGAATACTGTAAGTGACCAAAAAGTTATGATGAAATGTAGCTCTCCACGGTCACGATCACAATGTGTGCGGCCTTTTTTGGCCACCGATAAACCTGTGTGTGGATATATAAACTGAATGTTATGCCAATAATTAGTTGTTTAGTTCAGTTGTCTACCTGTAGAATTTCAGCGTCGTACATATAATAATTTACGAGATAATTAAATAAAAGTCATTAGAAGGTGCAAGTCCGTGGTAATCCGACCATGTTTAGGTGGTTACAAAAAAGCGATCACCCAGTACATTGCGCTGTCTTTTAAAATGTTTAGTGTAATACACCTTACGATTTCGGTACAGTTGCGTACAGTGTTAAATACATTCAATATTTATTCATTATTATTACCTATTATTTATTTTGTTTTTTTCCCTAATTGATCTTAAGCACTAGTTTCTTTACTTAAAATTTATTTAGTCTTTTTTACTACCGGAGCTACAATCAACAGAAAATCTGCACTGGTCCGCTAAAATTATAAATATGTAGATACATGTATGAACGATTCACCAGACTGCAATAAAACGAAAATTTAAACCAATAAGAAATCGTTTCATTTCTTTGATTTTTTTTGTAAAGAAATAACACTAAAGTAATTGTATTTTATTTTGGGGTGTATAGAGCTTAGACTTGAATGCATCAAAATATTTAAAGCAACAAGTCATCTACAATAAGTTAAAATAGACCGAATAGTAGAAGAATACAGTTGTAAATTAGAATGCATCAACATTGCATCGCCCAACAGTCGTATACCTCGTAAGAGTAGGTAATATTGTTCTGTGGTCTATACCTAGAACCGAGAATTATCTATACCTATGTACCTACCGTTAAGCGTTGAGCCCGTGACTGTTGATTTCTGTTAAAAACGAACAGTTGTTGAATGATATTTTGATATAATAACGGTAATTTAATTTATCGAGTGAAAGTGATACATTTTTATAGATAAAATTATTGGTCAGATAATATTTGTCAATCAAGAATCGCTGATAATACATCCTTCGCTAGAACGCGAGAGGGGAGGGGCGAAGGGATACTTCATTGTTTGCAATTTGCATCTAGTGCACTAAACTTGACCCTTAGGCAGATAATATACGTGTTGTAAAGTACGTGTGCGCTTCCGCTTTCTATTTTTGCAAATATTTATCGTATTCTTGAGAGTTCTTCAATATGTGTGTACCTAATTACTAATAATAGGCATTAATGCTAATTCGATTCAATTTAAGTAATTGTCAATTCTTGTCTTAGGATATTAATTACTAATGCTAATATTGAAATTTCGTTCAGGGTGAACAAATTAAAAACGATCATAACTTTTAGGTAGGTATATCATTTATTACTAATTTTACATAAATAATTTATTTTATTATAATTTAACTCACCGCGATTTTGTGATCAAATATTTTATTTTCTCCAACATTATTACAGAAATAATGCAATACAGAGTTTGTTCGCGATATGCTAGCCTAAGTCGATTCATCACTTAAAAAAAACCCCATCTATTCACAAAATACCTATTTACAACGCATACCTACGTTACACTCTTCAAAACTTATCATTTCATTTCATATTTCTTAAATTACCTATACCTACCCTAAAATTAAACTTCAATTAACAAATACTACGCAGGTACCAATTCTATGAAAAACTATAAACAATTCACCTAAACATTACGAGAAAACAAAAGCATTCAAAACAATACCTAATCTCCCGGCTGATTACTAATTATGCAATAAACAATCCTAAATAAAAAATATTTAAAAAACATGTAGTTTTTTGTAACACTTATGTACATATCCGTAGTAAACTTGCAAATAATATCCTACATATTTTAAAAGCCAGCACAATGTACTGGGTGATCGCTTTTTTGTAACCAACTAAACATGGTCGGGTTACCACGGTCTTGCACCTTCTAATGACTTTTATTTAATTATCTCGTAAATTATTATATGTACTACGCTGAAATTTAACAGGTAGACAACTGAACTAAACAACGAATTATTGGCATAACATTCAGTTTATATATCCACACACAGGTTTATCGGTGGCCAAAAAAGGCCGCACACATTGTGATCGTGAACGTGGAGAGCTACATTTCATCATAACTTTTTGGTCACTTACAGTATTCTTACGAAAATTCGTATACATTTGAAGGTATATAGGTATATAATTTTTAAACGGTCCATTATTTTTGTTATTTTATTGTCGAACAAATTAAAACTCATCCTTAAGAAGTTATGTACAAAAGATGGTTACAATCCGCTTACCCGTTTCAGAGATCCAGCAAACCCGCAAACGTTACTCCAGCAGGATTTCGAATAACTTAGCAGCCGAAGAAAATACAAATACTAAATAAGTTGTAACATTTACCTAGTCCAGATAACTAATTATTTAGCTAAAATTTATTTCAATATTACAATTAAAAAAGAAAATGTCTGGCTGCGGTAACGTTTCAAACGTTACCCCAGCAGGAAAGGTTTTTTTGAAATAACTAAAAAAGTTTAAGTGAAACAAATTTAAAAATGTGCTTAACAATTACAGAAGGGGAGCAACTAATTATCTATAAAGTTTAAATGACCATTTTCAACATTATTTTGCTGGGGTAACGCACACCGGATTGCGTAGTGGTCTAAGCGGTCGCTACGCCGCTACTTCTACGCTGAGTGTTGTGGGTTCGATCCCCACATGGGACAACACTTTGCGTGATCTACAAATTGTCGCTCTGAGTCTGGGTGTTCTTTGTGTCCGTTTCATGTATGTTTGTAAAGTCCCCGCGACACAGGAATATATTCACTACGCCATCTGGGCAGTACAAGCCCTGCTTAGTTTGAAAGTAAAAGGCTTTGTGTATCAGATGTCCGAAAATATTATTATTTTTAGTCAAAGAGTGAATTAACTAAAGCGAATGTTTTTCTTTTTGAAGGTCTTCGGCAGCGCGTCACGAAGGAAGATGATGTGCTGTTCTTCACCGATCTCTCAGTCATTGAACCTGACACCTACTTGAAGAATTATGTTCTGGGTATAAGAGAATTCGTATGCAAAGAAGACCCTTCGACACTGCCAAGGGCGAAGAAGTTGCATATGATGTAAGACGTTTTAATGATGCAGAAGATGATATTCAAAGAAAGGACCTGACGGTCTAGTGGTTAGCGATCCTGACTTCTAAGGTCGTGGGTTCGATTCCCACACAGGACAAATATTGCGTAATGGGCACGGTCATTTGTTGTGTCTGGGTGTAATTTTATTTCCGCTTTGTCAACTCCCCCTCCCCGGGTTAGACAAAAAGCGGCAATTAATTTGTGACCCTCAACCACCAGAGTTGGGAAGTTGGGGGGTTTAAGTTTCAGATGTCCATGAGCGATGGTAGTCATTTATTTTTAGATGACCCTTCTGCTGTGCATATACCGTAACAAGACAAATTCTTTTAAAAAAGAAGTTTAACCGACTTCAAACAATATATATCAAAGAGCACTAAAATCCTAGCAGCAATCGCGGTTGATTTGCTGTCATTTTTTGACGAGTTCCGTTGTCTGTCTCCGAAACTCAACATTAAATCTGTAATTTAAATGGGACCATTTCGGGATAAACTCCCTTCGAACAAAAAAAAGAGTGTAGCAAATCCGTCGATATATCACGGAGTTATGCCCGAACATATATTAAAAAAAACCGGTCAGGTACGAGTCGAACTCGTGCGCCGAGGGTTACGTACCTACCAGATTATAGTAGATTTTCGCGAAAATTTGTAAGTACTAAAATTTATCTTAATTTTCAATTTTTTTATGATTTGAAATTATTCCTTTATTTGTGCTGATTGCTTGATTGATTGCTGTAAGACTTTTTTTTTGCCAAATTTCGTGATTCTAGGTCAACGGGAACTACCATATTGGTTTTCGACCCAAAACCTATAGGGTACTTCCAGTTGACCTAGAATTCTCAACTTTGGTTAAAAGCAAGTAGTCCAGGCACGTTGAATATGGAGAACAAAAAACTGTTATCCAGAAACCTACGTTTTTAATTGGTAAAAAGGGTTAAAGTCAACATAAGGAAAATGTGTTATGTGCCCAAGAAAGTTAGGGGGTGAAAAGGGGTGAAAATGGATACATCTCGTGTTTTTTGCAATTTCACGCGAAATTTGATGTCCCACTGAAAAATGTTAAATACAAAAGTTGTAGATCTTGGAAAAATCTACAACTTTTGAATGGGTCATTTTTCAATATAACCTCAAAATTTCAGAAAAAAATGCAATAAATCAAAAAAAAATTGTTTTTTGTTTTTTACTTGTCAATTTCTCAAAAATAAATATTTTTAAACCAAACTTGCTGAAAGTACTCCTTTTTGTGTCCCAAACAACAAAAACAAAATTTTAGATTGAAATATTAAAACCTGTTTGAAAAATTCATTTATTTCGGTCCGAGACACGTTGATTACGAACTACGAACTTACCAACTTTGAAAGTTACATTTTACTACTTACAATCATCGTAGAGACGTCATACAGGGCTCATTTTTTTCGTTTTGACGTCTACTTTTTAATGAAATAATAAAACAATACAGCTTCCATTTAAAAACATGTCTAAAAATTGAAAAATATAAAAAAAACATTTTGCAAAAACAAATTTTTTGGTTATTGTTAATAATTTGTTATAAAGAAAAAAAAAACAAAAACTAATAAGACCATTGAATTGTACGGGAAAAAACACGAAGGAACATATGTTTTCCTATTTAAATTCATTTTTTATTTTTGTACAATACTGCTATAAACATTGTAATAGCATATTCCGTGTAGTTGAAAGATGTCAGGTAAGTACATACAGTGCGATCGACTTTTACTTTAATAAGAAAAATTCCTCATTTCTCGCGATGAAATTAATTAATTCAATTGTTGCTCTTCTGCATTGTTTTACTGGATGTGATACAACATCCGCTTTTGCTGGCAAAGGAAAAACAACAAGTTTTAATTCGTTGATTAATGCTCCTGAGTTAAAAGAATTAGCACTGCCCTTTTATCAAAGTAATGCAGATCCCAAAGTCATTGCTCGAAATGGTTGTAAACTGATTGCATCGATTTATCAATCAAAAAAATCTAAAATACCACTGGATGATTTAAGATTTACACAGTTTAAATTATTAACTGCAAAGTCGACTTTTAAATTCGAAAAATTACCCCCTTCTGTTGGAGCAGCAATTCAACACTCGTACAGAGTATACTTCCAACTACAAATGTGGCTTGGACATACATTACAAGCAACGAAATGGGGCTGGAAACAAGTGATTGTAAATAATACAAAACTACTTATGCCACATTATACAGATGACTCACTTATTCCAGACTTAAGATAATTTGTTGCAGTTGTGAGACTGGATGTGAGGGCAATAGATGCGGTTGCAGAAAGCATGAGTTGCGATGCACAGAGTTATGCACAAAATGCCATGGTTCTGAAAGTTGTTCAAACGTTGAAAAAGTTTCAAAAGATTTAAGTGATTTTGATGAAATTTCTGATAATCCTGATGAAATTGAACAACCATTTAACATCTTCAACTCAGAAAATCTTGCTATGGAAAAGTTTCCAGAGGAATTTGATGAAGAAACGGTTGAAGATAATGAGGAAGTTACATATTTCGACGAACAATTAATCGATGATGATCAGCCAAACTTACAATTAGCGAAAAGACAAAAATTGGTCTAGTGTGCATAATGTATTAATTATTAAATATGTAATAAATCGCATAATAAATGTATAATACTTATGTATATAAAGTGTAAATGTATGATATTTATCAGTACTTGAGCATATTTCATTAAAAAATCAACTTGATTAAAATTGAGTTTTTCTTTATTGTCATTTACCTCCATCATTTTTTTATTATTATTATTATTAGTAGTAGTATTGTTAACAATCTATTTTGTTGATATAAATTTCAATTATAAATTCGGTGCAAGTTAAATTAGATTCAGAATTCATTTTAAAAAAATCATTCAATTATTTAAAAGCATGTTTTAAATAATTGTACACAAAAGTTAATTATAAGACGATTTATTTATCAAAATATGTAGAAAATAATTGAATAAATTAATTTCATCGCGAGAAATGAGGAACTTTTCTTATTAAAGTAAAAGTCGATCGCATTGTATGTACTTACCTGACATCTTTCAACTACACGGAATATGCTATTACAATGTTTATAGCAGTATTGTACAAAAATAAAAAATGTATTTAAATAGGAAAACATATGTATCTTCGTGTTTTTTCCCGTACAATTCAACGGTCTTATTAGTTTTTGTTTTTTTTTTTATTTATAACAAATTATTAACAATAATCAAAAATTTGTTTTTGCAAAATTATTTTTTTTATATTTTTCAATTTTTAGACATGTTTTTAAATGGAAGCTGTATTGTTTTATTATTTCATTAAAAAGTAGACGTCAAAACGAAAAAAATGAGCCCTGTATGACCTCTCTACGATGATTGTAAGTAGTAAAATGTAACTTTGAAAACAACGTGTCTCGGACCGAAATAAATGAATTTTTCAAACAGGTTTTAATATTTCAATCTAAAATTTTGTTTTTGTTGTTTGGGACACAAAAAGGAGTACTTTCAGCAAGTTTGGTTTAAAAATATTTATTTTTGAGAAATTGACAAGTAAAAAACAAAAAAAAATTTTTTTTCATTTATTGCATTTTTTTCTGAAATTTTGAGGTTATATTAAAAAATGATCCATACAAAAGTTGTAGATTTTTCCAAGATCTACAACTTTTGTATTTGACATTTTTCAGTGGGACATCAAATTTCGCGTGAAATTGCAAAAAACACGAGATGTATCCATTTTCACCCCTTTTCAACCTCTAAAATCATCCCCTAACTTTCTTGGGCACATAACACATTTTCCTTATGTTGACTTTAACCCTTTTAACCATTTGAAAACGTATGTATCTGGATAACATTTTTCTTTTTTCATCTCTGTAAATGAGTCACTGTGCCTGGACTAAAGGTCTTACAGCACAAGTACTTAAAGAGAAAATTCAGAAAAATAAAAAAGTTGAAAATTAAGGTAAATTTTGGTACTTACAAGTTTCGTAAATCGAAATTTGCCCATTTCTTTTTATCGTGTTGACTCAGGACTTTTATACACGTAATAGGCACCATAGACCTCAGTATCTGGTATAAATTTCTACTTGCTAGGTCTACCCGTTCCTGAGAAAATCGGTGGTGACACACGGGGACAAGAAAGTGATCTTATAAGGGTTCCTTTTTTACCTTTTAAGGTACGGAACCCTGAAAAGAGTTTAGCAAATCCGTCGATATATGACGGAGTTATGCCCGAACATACATTAAAAAAATATAAATATCCCCCTGGATCACCTCTTCCTTTTTGAAGTCCGTTAAAAATACTTCTAAAACTTAATTATAGCATAAAAATGTATTGAATGTTGTTAAATATCCATATTTTTTTGTTTCAGCCGTTATTTTGCCGATAGGATCCTAAAATTCGTCTTCCTTTGCCTCTTCGCTTGGTTCCTGTACAGCAATTCCAGCATATTTACATCTTCTGTAGAACTTCTAGATAATACACTGAAGAGTTTACCTCCTATCAACCAAGTTAGAGCACAGGATGTAATCACTAATTGTTCATAGTATTTATAATTGCTATTTTTTTATTATAATTGAGGGTAGAATTATAAAAAGTGTATGTTAATGAAACTAAAAAAGCCCAACGAACGAACGGCTTTACGAACCTTAAAGTAAACATTCAAAAACAACTTTTACATAAAAGAATTACAAACTTTTTTTATTAGGACAACCAAGATAACACTGACATATTCTTAATACTAATTTAATTTTTAACTAAAAATTTTGTGTTGACAATTACAAATTTTCAAATTAGGTTACAAGTTTGATTAACAATTACAAATTTTCAAATTAGATTACAAATTTGATCAACAATTATAAATTTACAAATTCGATTACAAATTTGATTAACAATTACAAATTATCAAATTAGATTACTAATTTGATTAACAATTACACATTTTCAAATTAGATTACAAATTAGATTAACAATTACAAATTTTCAAATTAGATTACAAATTTGATCAACAATTATAAATTTACAAATTCGATTACAAATTTGATTAACAATTACAAATTATCAAATTAGATTACAAATTTGATTAACAATTACACATTTTCAAATTAGATTACAAATTAGATTAACAATTACAAATTTTCAAATTAGATTATAAATTTGATTAACAATTACAAATTTTTAGATTAGATTTCACCCCGATTTTTATTTTTTAACAAAATTTTTTCGAATCTAACGACACTGCTCAAGCTAAAATACATAGAGTCGTATAGACCACAGAGTGGGCCAAAGAAATAATCAAACATACTTTATATTCGAAAAACGCAATGCTCGGGTAAAAATAAAATACCTAAATAATTAACGGTTTAAGAATACGGAGTGTCACCACCCCTATTGCAGGACAACAGCACTGCAAAGGGAATAAAAACTTGAAACAAACCCTTTACCAGCCCGCCTGTCCATGATAGGTTAGTAGGCCAAAAAGTCATTTTTAAGGTGAGGCCTATGTCCAGCAGTAACCTATTAAAGGCTGTTGACGATGTTATACCTTTAGCTGCACTAGCGCTATTCTGGTTAATAACTGAACTATTATTTACTGTGTATTGGCTACTTTGGTTTGGTTTTGGGTTGCCCCTAAAATAAACTTGATGATTTATTTTCTTCATTAGATGTAGGTAACATTAAACTATTATTTTTTATTATTTGATTACTTTAGAAATAAATTAGTTTTAGTGACATCTAGCGATACGTATCTTAACTTGGTCTAAATCTGAAAGTAAGTTTGTTGTTAATTATTATTTAGTCGCGGCCCCAGGGAAACAAGTGTGATGGTCGACGCTATCAAGCCGAAATTTTGCTGGCTATTTTTTTGGTTTTCAAGTTGGCAAGTTTTTTAAAAAAGTATTGGTTTTACAGAAAATTGTTCTGAGTAAAAGTTGTTCAGGAGACAATTTTACATAGGGATTAATGATTTTAAAAATCTAAAAAAGTATTTAATAATTTTTGAACTGAAAACTTTTTTAGGCGCGATGGGCATTTTTGAACAACAAACAAAAGATTGTATTTTTTGAGATGGGAAAAACATTTGAATTCGCGACTGTTACCGTTACCGACACCTCTGTAAATAAATATCTACGGTCCCGTATACACGAGAGTTGAGTTTGCATTGATAATATAGTTATATATTCATGTGGGAACTATTCAATCGAAAAAAAAATCTTAAAATCTTTTCGAAGTTAAAGTTTTCAAGCACGGAGCACACCTGTTTTTTTTTTAAATTAGATATATTATAGACATAAAATGAAAATTTGGTTTCAAGTACATTTTCGATGTCTATGAAATAAATTTTACAAAGTGTGATAATGTGTTTTCTTTTAGACAATAGGTATCTATTATATAGTACCTATATAACATATTATAATAATAGTACCTAAGTCAAGACTTTTTTCCTTTGAATAAAAATAGGTATGGCGAATATATGTATGGTGTCACCACCCCTATTCATCCCATGGGTGTCGTAAGAGCTAACTAAGGGAAAAAACTACGCAGAACAACAGCACTACAGAGAGAAGGAAAACTTGACACAAACCCTATACGAACCCGTCTGGCCAGTGGTAACCCAAACCTCCTTTCTAAGGAGAGGCTTATGTCCAGCAGTGAACTGTTAAAGGCTGTTGATGTGGTATGGCGAACGGACGTACCTACCTACTTAATGTTTATACGAAGAAGTTCGCATAATTATTTAAACAACAGCTGGGCTTTGATTTGAGATCAACGAAAGGTTTTAGAAATCCCAGCAGTACTTTGTACCTATATTTTGCTCTGGTGAGGAGTATATTAGAATATGGTAGCCCGATATGGTCGCCTAATTACAAGGTCCATATTGATGATATTGAACGTATTCAGAGAAGATTCATTAAAATTCTCAACTACCGAGAAAGCCCTGGTCGGTCAAATTTAAATTACGAAAGCAGACTCAGCAAATATAAGGTCCAGCCATTACAAACCCGACGCACCTATTTCGATTTGGTTTATCTCTACAAAATTATACATTATATTATTGATTCACCGGAGTTACTTTCTCTAATCAGTTTTAATATTAAATTTAGTGCCCGTAGGGCTAATGATACGAATATATTTGCCCTTCAAATATATAAAAATAACATCTCTTACTATAATCCATTAACAAGAATGGCCCGTCAATATAATGATATCTCAAATCCAACAAATTACTAGACGTTTTTGATACTAACTATAACAGATATACAAAATTGGTGAAAGACATCCTCCATGGTGGGCTGCGTTTGGATTAGCATTCAAATCTACATCACAATTGCTGCTTGCTTACTTTGTCACTTATTTTTTTATTACTTGCAGTATTATGAATCAGAGATAATTTTTGTATAATCTTCATTGTTTTTCTTCGTGTACATTTGAGTTACGTTACGATCCAGATCTAAACGATGTATTTATGATTTATGTTTCAATTGATTGTAATGTGTTTTGTGCATTTAATAAACAAAATAAAAAAAAAAAGTTGAAAAATTATGTCAAAATAACTACATTAATATCTATACTAATATTATAAAGCTGAAGAGTTTGTTTGTTTGTTTGAACGCGCTAATCTCAGGAACTACTGGTCCGATTCGAAAAATTCTTTCAGTGTTAGATAGCCCATTTATCGAGGAAGGCTATAGGCTATATATCATCACGCTTAGACCAATAGGAGCGGAGCACCAATGAAGAATGCTTCAAAAACGGAGAAAATTTATTACTATTGAGAGACGCAGACGAAGTTGCGCGGGTCAGCTAGTTAAGTTATAAAAGTCAAGAATATCTTTTCAATTTCTATCCATTTTTGTTTTAAAGTTACTCAGTGACACTTCAAGTTATGAGTATGATCCAGGAAATAAAACAATTATTTAATTTAAAACGGTCGAAATCGATCGTTCTCTAGAGAAAATATAGTCTAGTTTTAGACTTTTTTCGAAAATGTACCCACCTACCTAAATTATTGTACTAGTAGTAAAATTTGTACCTGCCTACCATGGACGTATAAAAAAAGTCGGTCAGACTCTTACTCACAAAAAACTGTGCCACTCATAGTCGGTCAGCTCGCTGAACTTACACGCCGGTACGCACCTATAATGCTACCTACATTGATAATCATTACTTTCCTTTCACTAGTTTTTCACATTTAAAACAAATAAAACCTTCAGAAACTTCAATAGATTATGTTTAAACTCCTTTAGTATTAGTAATCTTTATTGCAGACGATATGAGATTGTACATTATATACATAGATATTGTAGTTATCAGTATTTAATCCGGCTATGTCCCGCCCATTAGGCACACAATAGATAAAATTATTAGAAAATGGGTACATGCATTAAATAATTTATGTCAATATGGATCGCATTCTCACAGAATTTGTAGACAAGCAATAATAATGTAGACATAGAATAATAAAAGTAGAAAACACTGAACACAATTAATGGAGCAGAGACCTGTCATGTAATCTTTAACTGTATAATAACATTAATTTAGCAACAAATCATGTAGTTTTTTTTAAATATGGTAATTTCTTTAACCTTCCTGATATCTCTTGGAATATTGTTGTATATACGCGAAGCTGTACAGAATATACTTTCATGCATCAGATGTGTCTTGCTAGCAACTATGTGCAATTTGTCCTTATGTCTTATACGTCTTTGCCAGCAAACAACTATAAAGCCGGGGTCATATTTGAACAAAAACGGTTATACTATTTTGGGTTGTTCCGTTTTTGTTATTCACAATATGGCGCGCTTAGATTATGGCGCCTGGTCAGCTACTGTCATGTCAAATTGACTTGCACAGATTCAGAAATCATTACTTTCGTACGTAGGTAACAAAAAAGGTTTACCACGGGTTGCCAGTTATGTGAACTAAGTAAAACTGTATTTACTTCGTTATAACTGTAAAATACAACATTTTGTTTACTATTTGATTTATAATATGCATTAATAATCATGTACAGGCATTCTAAAATCCTAAAAATATCGTTTTTATTAATAAGTTTAGTGATGTCAACAACAGAATTAGCACCAGTTGTCTATTAAATGTGTAAATTCCATAAATTTTTGTTACCAGGTTTTACAAGCTTCATTTTCATACCATAAAAAGCTTAGTAGAAAAAAAAATAAGTTTACAAAATTGTTTAAATAGGTAGTTACCTAAGGGACCCAAAATTCGTTACGATAGTTTTTATGAATTTAATATATACAGTGACATTTGCTCACAAAAACTAATGTAACGACGACCTACCTAAAATTTATTATTCAAATCGGTTTGTTGTACCAGACTAGCGAACTTGTTTTGTTGATCATAACAATATTTTTTTTAGCTTCGGTGCAGCAGATAGAAACAATTTAAAACTAATGCCTTATTACTAATGTTTTTTACATTGGTTGTCATGTAACACTCAAAAGAACTCGGCTGTTGAACTTGTTTACTTTAACTAAAGTCATTTTCTAATTTTTATCTATGAGATTTCTGGTTTTTGTACACCATATTCTGCAGCAAATTAACCAAGGGAGGGAAAACAACAATATCCAATCGAGGTTTTTGTTTTGATGACAATCACCAATCAAAATACTTATTACTCAATTTAATTCTAATTCCTGTAATGGAGAACGTAAAACTGAGAGTAGAAAACATACTATTGCATCAGAAAATAGAGTACACCGTTGAAGGACGTCTGCAATTGTCTATATCCGTTCTTAAGAGCCGAAATATATTACTATCGTTGAACGTATAATCGAATTGTATTTACTCGAGTCAAGTAAAAAAACTATGTAGGCTAAGCGTGCTAGGATATTTTAAACTGATTTAGTTATGATTAGAAACATATACCGTTTGTGACTCCTGAGTTGCAGCCGTTCATGGTCGTCGTCAGTGGTCACTTTACATCAGGTGACCCGTCTTCTCGTCTCCCCCTTCTAACATAAAATACATAAAAAAAAAATACAGTTTACTTTCCAAACGTTCATAATTTCATAAATGAATTGCTAATCATAAATAGTGCAATTATATAGTAGAAAAAGAGCTTTGAATATTCATCACTATAATCCCGGACATAAAATAACTAAAATATTCCGCACTCAATTTTCAAGAACTAGGTAATTTATGCCAGCAATCACCCACAGAGTTTTTAACCAATAAAATACTAGACATTGACATTTTATCAGTTCGTTTAATGAATTTAAAACTAAAAAAACAAAATGTTCTTTGTGGAAACAAATGACAATTAGAAATAAAATAGAAGTAATTAATATAGTTTGTTATTACGAGTATTTAAAAAAAATGCCATTCTTACGTTATTAGAAGTAAATGTACACCGTAATTGTCATACATATTAAAATCAAGTAAAATATGTATAATGTACTTATTATAATAAATAACTTATAAATTAATTAATAAAATAAATATAGTTTTAGGTCTTATAATAAAAAATTATGAGTAAAAAATAAATTTGGAAATCAGCGTGAGAAAGTCGCACAGACACTTGCGCATGACTAAGCGTCGCCACACGGCATTACTTACATGTTACTTAAACTATCACATACTGTGGCAACGTGACGCCACCACAACAACCGGTTTGATTACCTGTATTAGATGTTTCACATTTAAAAACATCTTTATTGAAATTTTTACGTGATTTTACTTATGTGTTCAAATCTCTGTCACTTACACGACCGGTGCCTTTGAGCAAAGCCTTTGCTTCTTGAAAGGGGCTTCTGCCGGATCCGAAACTAGTCAAGATACATAAACGTGACAAAAATATTACATAATATGTATATAAATACTAGGTAAAGGTTTTATCTTTGCATACCCAAGCGAGGCCGTGTGTAACTCATCTCAAGTTGTTCAACGACACTGAGTTGACTAAGATGCTAATCCAATTATTTTGATATAAAACATAAAGTAATTATTGACTTTCTTCTTGGTTATTAATCGTGTTCTAGTAATTTTATACATTTAAATTTAAATTAAATATCGATTATTTTATTCGATTACATAGCGCACCTCTAACGGCCTTGCGTCGCAGACAAAAAGTGACGCCTTTAAATGTCAAGTCATATTTAACTCAAAATGGCTGAAATGTAAAGACGTGTATTGAAATTTTTATCATAATGGAGCTTCAAAACGAATACCTTTATACTATTGAAAACGAATTAAATAGTTTTTCGAGCGCAGATGTGTTGATTTTCGGTGCTAAATCTTCAACAGTGTGTAAAACCGACAGTGAGTGTGAGATTTCTTTCCGTGACCGTGTGTGGATTTCCCCGAGAGAATTCCCCTTGACAAACACAGTTACGTGTTGTAGATTCATGCATAGACCATCCCCTGATATTAAGGACTTTTACGTGACACCACCAAAGTGCGCGTGATTTTAATCTGTGATCATTTTTATAGTGGAACACTATGAATATTCCAACGAATTGGCGTGATAGGCGCACTATCATGGGCCCTCTACACAATCCCTACGTCAGTTACTCTACAGACGCTAAAAGCAGCATGAAGAAAGTTTTCGCTGAGGAGATGTTTTTACATAATTTTCATTTGAGTCCGGATACCCTGCGCAAGAATTTGGCGGATACAATCATTACTCAAGAAAAAATGGCGCCTAAAAATGGAAAAATGAAGTTGGAGAAAGAGACGAGCGATAAAGAGACTGTAGTCATTCACGAGGATGTTTCGCCGTTATCAGGGATTACGAATTTCCTTTCTGGTGTTATGAATGTAATTTCTAATGTGATGTTTACCAAACGTAAACCAGCTGAGTTTAGTTCCAACTCGGATTCACAGACAGCGCCACCGTCGATGTGGCACAACGCCAACCTTTCAGATGAAAATAAAAATCCACAGAGTGAAAATTTTACTGATGATTTGTCTAGTGAGTTTTTTGCTTCGGAGATGAGCGACTGCAGGACAGCTGCGGCGCATTGTCAGAGCAAACTCGATCAGGTTCGCTTGTTACTCGGCACCAACAAACCCACACAATGTTCTTTGAGAGTACGAAAAAGACCAAAAAAGGTGTTTGTCGAACCATCTTGTGTTGAGGACTGCTTCGAAGATGCATTTTCACCAGAGGACTTTGAAAATCTTGCAAACGAGTCCTATATTGAGTTTTACAGTCCCATTTGCTACCATGACCATTCATTTCATGATATTGAGAGCCCTAAAACTAAAGTTGATGTAGCGGTGATTCCTAAAGAGGACCCTAAATCATCTTATTTGGTATCCGACCCCTTAGAAGAATCAGTAACATCAAGAATGGTTTCCCATACTCATTCCATCGAGGATGATGTCTCAAATGTTAATAGGGACGTTGCGGAATTGAATTCTGAAATTACTGGAGTTAATAAAGAACTTCCTAAAGTAGTGCCTGAAGACCATCTAGTCCATAAAGTTACGGAACCTGAAAAATATGTACCTGAATTAAATAAGAATAAGTTAGACCTGGAAACTAAAAAAGAAGTTGTAGAGGCTTGTGAGGATAAAATTACAAAACTAAAGTTATTGCTGCAAAGTAGAAGTAAGAAGCCTAAGGTTGAGGGTCCTGCAGAGGAAACTGCAACCGTAACAAACTCTCCAGTCTCCTTTACCCTAGAATCTAAACCGTTAGTTACACTACCCCCAAGACCAAAGCCGTCCTATAAAGTTAAAGATAAACGGTTTAAAAACCCAAACCGCTGTACTGATAAGCGTCAAATGTCGAAAATGAAGAAGAGTATTGAGGATGACCTGGTGTTCGCCAATGAAATTAATTCTGAAGACTTATTCGGCAGTGTGGATATTTCACCATCAACAAATTATCTAGAGAATCATATGAAATCTGTATCAGAACCTATTCAAGACTCAACGGTTCCAGAAGTAAATAAAAATCAATCAAAACCGGTGCCAACGAAAGAATATTTTGACGAAGTATCTGGCTGTTTCCGTCCCTCATCTGTGGAAAGCGATGATTCCTTCCAAATTGTTTTTCACGACAGTCCTAGAAGCCGTCAAGAATCCGATTGTGAGTCTGATGATTTCGACATTGTTTTTGAAGAATCTCCTGATTGCTACACTTCCAATGATGTGTTTAGAGATTCCGATGATTCATCGGACTCTGAGGAGGATGACAGTGATTCCGATGTCAGTGATTCAGAATGCAACACCTTCAAGTTGTCAGCTTCATTGTCTAAAAGTGTTTGTAACTTAGCCGATGACAGTCTTTATGAGGACCAAAGTGAGGATGAAGTGGATTGTGCCCACATTCAGAATTTATCAATCTGTGATAGTGTAGCCGACAGTGAAATTGATGATACTGGTGACTATTCTAAAGGTGTACTGGTAGATGAGAGGAAGAAAATGCTGAAAAAGAAATTACCTGCTAAAAGGGTGAGTTTATTATCATTTTTCTTAAATATAAAGCTTTGATTATATACTGTCTCATCATCATCAACAGCCTTTAATAAGTCCACTGCTGGACTTAGGCCTCTCCTAGAAAAGAGATGTTGGTCTTCTATACCACGCTGGCCAGACGGGTTGGTATAGGGTTTGTGTCAAGTTTTCCTGTCCCTTTGTTTCACCACACTGTCTAGTCATACTTAATAATATTTCACTAACTACTTTAAAACAAAGGCATCTATCTATTCAGTTGTAAATTTTTTATTCATTTTTAATTGCCTAACTCTGTTATTTATAATCTGACTAGCTTTTTCCAGCGACTTCGCCTGTAAGTGTGGGGTTTCGGTTTAAAAACTAGCCTATGTTACTCGCTGATAATGTAGCTTTCCATTGGTGAAAGAAATTTCAAAAATAATTTATTGGTTTCACATAAAAGTGGTATACGCTAACATACTCTGCTCTCATATTTATAGCATACTAGGTGTGCAAGCCGGAGCCGCGACCGACATACAGCAGGTTATATGGTGGCATACTATATGGTTATTGCGGTAAAAAATAGCCTATGTAACTTGCTGATAGTGTACCTAACTTCCCACTGGTGACAGATTTTCAAAGTTGGTTTATTGGTTTTGGTGTGAAATGGTAACAAAGAAACAAACAAATTCACTTATCAGTGTGGACCACAAACAATACTACAGCAAAGAGTGGAAAATTGTAGAATGTGTAATAGTTTTTATTTGATTGGCTGCATGGATGGCGTTGTGGTTTAAGGGGTCGCCGCACCACTTCCTACTGAGCTAAGTGTTGTACGTTTGATCCACACATGGGACAACACTATGTGATCAAGAAATTATTTTTCTGAGTCTGGGTATTCTTTGTGTCCGTTTCATGTGTGTTTGACAGAAGAGTCACCCGTTACACAGGATATATTTCTAGTGCGGGAGTTTTTTTTTTTAGAAAGAAAAAGAAGATATTACAATTCAATATGATGCCGTTGCATTAAAGCTTGTTTTAATAGTTATACACATAGATATTTCTAGTCATATTTTACTTGTAATAGAGACCATGTGAGCAATACCTTCGTTCATTTACCAAAAACATCTATAGAATTTTCTGAGCCACATGAGTCTCTTTTTAAACCGTACTGTAGAAATTTGTATGAATAAATTAGTTCCAATATTATCACTCTATATTCATATAAATACATACAAAACAGTCATGCAGTTGCCAGCTAGTTTTAATAGTTATTTTCCGAATATTTTATTTCCTAGAAGTCATTTGTCGAAAAGTCTGCGCCATTTAATCCAATTTATTTTATTCATACAAAACTTCCCTCTTATGCAAATGGGTGATTCTTAAATAGCATAAAAAAATTGTCTTTTTTACGAAATTATGCTAGTCCTAGCTTTTTTATTATGGTATAGAGGAGCAAACAAGCAGCCGGGTCAGCTGAGGGCTTGGTGCAAATTTATTTCAAATCAACTCTAACGTCACGGTGACCGCGTTCGGCGCTGCGATTGGCGCTGCGATTGGCCCGCACTGAAATCTGCACCAATCGCAACGCCGAACGCGCTCGCTGTCGAGAGCGTCAGAGAATCATTTGAAATAAACTTGCACCAGGCCCTCTGTTGTACAATTCCCGAGTCATAAGGGCATTGCATCCCTTGAATAGGGGACTAGAAATAGCAGGAGGGAGGGTTTTAGGCTCTGAAAACTCCACTCAAGCAGCAAAAGAATTGCATAACACCAGTGTGCTACCACACCGGTTGAGACTTCCGATTTGTGCCAAATCATGAATCAAACACATCGACAGCCTTTAATAGTCCACTGCTTGACATAGACCTCTTCTTAGAAAGAAGGTTTTGGCCTACTATACCACGCTCGCCAGACGGGTTGGTATAGGGTTTGTGTCAAGTTTTCCTTCTATTTGCAGTGCTGTTGTCCTGCGTAGTTTGCTCCCTTAGTTGGCTACGACACCCACGGGATAAATAGGGGTGGTGCAACTGTATTCTTAATTCGTCACCACCACATACGTATACTGTGATACAAGTATACTATTTATCTACAATACGTTTTATTTATTAGTTTAATGCACTGATAATAATGACGTAACCTCGTGGTTAGAATTGGTTGTGGTTTGCAGAGGACGAATGAAAGAGGAAATGACGCAAAGACAATAGTTCTGATAATATTATTAGTAGTTGGCCTAGCAACAAATAAAACCTTGAATGCCGAGATGTAACAAGATAAAAATACTGCAAATCTAAAGCTCAGTGTCTATATAATTTTTATCTAGATAATTTACAGTCCAATTTAAATAGATCGTTCTACAAGTGTTTGTCTTTTCGAGTTGCAAATAATTTGTAATATCTGACATCTCAATTACCATCTGACCCGTCTTTCTTTTGTGTTGGACGAGTGGCAAATCCCTTCAGATTTCCGGCTTCTTGGGGACACAGGAGCCAGGAGTATGTGGTGTTGCCTCTAAAAACTACATTGACGGCCGGCGTCCTTACAGAGTAGGACCCTGACCATGTGCTTTCTAGTCCTCCCTGAATCGATGCGGCGCCTTACCAGGCCTTATCCCGGGGGTAGCTGCAAACTTTCCCCCCGGCAATTGCTCCAATATTGACGCGCCACCCTGTACCCTACTGACATCTTCTATGCTCGGGATTGCCCCTCTCCCGATCCCCTTCATCTGTCTCTTTCTGGACAACTGCGCCCTGACCCTGACAAATTCATTATTGTGACATGAATTTGCACAATAATTTGTTCTATGTCTATGTCACAATAATATGTCTTTCCTCAAGAATCAGTGTCTTAATACAAAATTGCATCTAAATCGGTTCAGCAGTTATTGATTCCCCATACAAACTTCCTTTTCATCTACCTTAAAGGATGTTTTGTGGGATAAAAACTACCCTATTTCCTTTGCCAGGACTCGGACTATCTCTGTACTAAATATCATCTTAATCGGTTCAGCGGTTTATGCGTTAAGAGGTAACAGACATATAGACAGACACACTTTCGTATTTATACTTAATATTAGTATGGATTATACTTTTTTTTTTGATAAGGAGGATATTTCGTGATAAGGGTTTATCTATACTGTTCAATTTATCAATAACATGATAGTAAGAAGTTAATATTTGTAATGACTGAACAAATAGCGTAGTGGTTTAAGCGGTCGCCACGTCGCTTCCTACTACGACGCTGTGTTATAGGTTCAATCCACACATGGGACGACACTTTGTGTGATCCACAAATTGTTGTTCGGAGTCTGGGTGTTCTTTGTGTCCGTTTCATGTATGTTTCTAAAGTCCCCGCGTCACATGACATATTCCTAATGCGGGAGTTGCCTTAAAAAAAATTGTAGCATTAGCAGTCCGGATCACTAACCACTAGACCAAAAGGCCCGTTAGGCCTAGGCAAAGCCTACACTGAACTATGGTAATCAGACTGCTGATAAAAATACCTGAATATTACTAAATCCATGCTAATATTATAAATGCGAAAGCGTAGACGTCTGTCTGCTACACTCTTTCTGCTCTTTCTGTCTGCTGCTCTTCACGCTTAAACCGCAAAACCGATTTACATGAAATTTGGTATAGAGATAGTTTGAGTCCTGGGAAAGGACATAAGACAGATTTTATCTTAGAAATCATCCTTTAAGGGGGTGAAAAGGGGAAGGGGGGTGTCAGTTTGTATGGGAAAACAAAAACCACGGAACCGCTTCCGATGAAATTTAGTATTGACATAGTTTGATTCTTGATAAAGGAAATACGCTACTTTTTTACCACGAATACCGATTTACACACGGGCGGAGCCGCAGGCAAAAGCGAATACTGACATCATACAAATAAATAAAATTGAAATGTTGGTAATGTGAAAATAATAGGTTTTTTTCATGCTGACGCGGTTATTTGCACGATAGCTATGCCTAATAACCAGTTTTTTTTGTCTATCTGTCTGTTTGTTCCGGGTAATCTTCGGAACTGGACCGATTTTGATAATATTTTAATCCCAGGTAGCTGTTTATATGAGTAACTAAGGCTATTTTGCCTCTCAGAAAAACCCTTTAAATTTGGGACGGTCCGAAAATCGAACCCACTAAAGGTAGCGCCGTCTCGGGTACGGGTACCAGCTAGAATATAGATAAATTACATTAATACATATTTTTTCTCTTTTACTATTTAATTTAATTCAAAATTAGCTCGTGATATTTTGGCCTTCAAATAAATTCTAAATGACTGTCTTAGCTGTTAAGATTTTCAACAAAATGCTCTAAATTCATTATATAATGCGCGTATGTACACTTTATTACTGTTAAAATATATTTTTTAACAGACTTGCGTGTTTATTGAATAAAAGCAATTCGATGGTTTTCAATTCGGCTGCAGATATTTTCAATGTTTGTTATTTCAGAACTCCTGTCTTTTTTTTTTGTCTGTTTTTTATCGATTTGGGAAACATTTTTTTTTTCGTTTCGAAGGGTATACTTTTAGTTTGGTTCTATTCACATTTGAAAAAAGAATACCATCCCAAGCGTGGCAAAATAGCGAATCATCATCATCATTACATCAACAGCCTTTAATCGTCCACTGCTGGACATAAGCCTCTGCTTAGAAAGGTGGTTTTGGCTTACTATACCACGCTGGCCAGACGGGCCGGTATAGGGTTTGTGTCTAGTTTTCCTTCTCTCTAAATAGCGAATAAAGCGTTGAAATCGGTAATACTATTTTTAAACTTAAATATTTATGATATGGGTGCTGTAATGGATATGTAATCGAAGTTATTATCATCAACAACCTTTAATAGCGCTGACCTCTCTTTTCATTCCTCAACTCCCCATTCTCACCTACTTACCTTGATCCCTATCTGCGTTTCCTGTCCACTAATCACGATAAAAATCTTCGCTCAACAAATCATTTGCTTTTCCTTTGTCCCTCCCATAATTCCGAGTTTGTGAACTCTTCATTCTTTGTGCGAGC